CGAAGTACGATAAAGTGTGGAAAATTCTTAGCTTCCCGCGAACAAACGAAGCGGAGGTCATCGAACAGAATCCGAAGAAGGAAGCGGATCTAAAAGTGGTTTCGATTGATCGGTTAAAGCCGTGGCACCCACCATTACCCGAAGAGAAAGATTCGCAACGATTGTCGAACGAAAAAGAAATGGTAGAAACCGAGCATGCTTCAAAAAATTGTACCAATCAATTTTTCGAACCACCTCTGCTACCTGAAATGGAAAAGGAAGACAAACCTACAAAGAAAAGAGGAAGAAAGCGGAAAGAGGATAAGGATTTCGAAACAGCAGTCACAATCAAGTTGAACGCAGAGGCTGGTAATTTGGCAGAAAGGTCACTGGAAAAAGACAACGAACCGACCTCCAAAGTACCAGAGCGCACCTCAAAAGGACCTGCAACAATCCTTTTCGACCACGCACTGCTACCGAAGATAAGGATGACCTTTCGAAACAGCGTACGGACGCTGAGATATCAGAGCGTGACCGAATTTTTCGAACCACGCACTGTTACCGGTAATGAGAATGACCTCATAAAAAGAGAAAAAGAGATAGAGACGGTCAAATCAAAAGCTGAACAATTGGGCCGCGATATAGCGAAAGCAATCAACGAGCGAAAGGTCAAGCAGAAGAAGAAGAAACCAACTCCTACGGAACTGCTAACCCAAAAAGGCGAACCTGAGGACGCAGCCGAGAAAGAACTCCTTGATCGGATAACTAAAGGACGAGAGAACAAATAACCACATAGACATAAATAAGGGGTCACACTAAATTAACAATAGGAGTTGGGAAGGCAAAAAGAAAGGTCACCACTGTGCAAAAAGTTAACCTTTATTGTTTCGTTTTTATAGAAGGTAAGCACAGTTAATGGACAGATTGGAACGACAAAACTCGGATAATTCAGACTCTGAAAGTATCGGAAACCCACTAAAAGCATCAACACCTATAAGAATGGAAGGTGAATACGGCTATGACACTTCATATGGTGAAGGATCGACGTCGTCAGTGGGAACGGCTCAGAACGAACCTGGAACAACCCAAAGAGGTTACTACGGCGGACAGGGGTATTACGTGTACCACGATCCAGGACAGCAGACGAATTATCAGGACACGGTTAACTGGGTGCACCACGGCTCACCTGCCGGAACCCAGTATTCGGGACAAGCAACGGGCGCCCCTTATCAACCGTATCCAGGATCGTATACCCCACCGGCAGGACCATCGCAGGTGATAATGGGACCGGCAAGAATGGGCAGCAATCGATCTCACGGAACTCGCCACAGAAAGGAGGAGACGAGGCGGAAACCGGTTTGATTCACCACGACCGCGAGGCATATTGCCATCACTGGGGCCTAACTTGGACGAAACTGGACCAGATGGGTTACGGTTGACGCCACCAGGCGAACCTTCAGTACACGAATACGCGCCGAAACTCCCTTTGGACCTCAGAGAGGATGATGCGCGTTTAAACGTGATCGTGGACAAAGCAGAAAAGTTGACAGAAGCGGACGGAACGGCCATTCAGGACTTTAACAGGATGTGCCGTGACCTTTACAGAATTCATATGAGAGTGGAAGATGAACATGGATGGTATGGAAAGTTGATCAGCCTGGAGGCAGTCATCAAACCATGCCACATAGCATTGAAAGAGAAAACAAAAGTGATAGAAGTCAAGCGCAAAGAATTAGCGATAAAAATTGCATCGATGTGGCAATATCATCCGGCAGTACATGGCAGGCAGTGGCCGCGGATTATCGAGAAGGTTCTGAGATACCTTAAAGTATTTCCGGAAGAGAAAATGATTCCAACGACCAGCAGCGCAGGAACATCCAAGCCATTAGTCGAAAAAGCCACTTCGGTGGATGAAATGTCTGACCTTTTGGCAACAAAGAAAGATTGATGCCGAATGAATTAACTGAACGAGCAGAAAGGTCACGGGCCAGCTCGACCGCAGGATCAATACGTGGACGTACTAGTTCGGTTACAGAACCATCTAGCGGAGCCACGAAGAGTGGAAAAAGAGCAAGGTCACCAACGATAAGCCCAAAAGAAACTGACAAGAAAGGGCAGCGAACGAAGAAGGCCACGTCAGGTAAAGCAACACCAGCTGAGCCGGCAAAGCTACAAGGCCCAGTCCCAGTGGGTAGAAAGAGTGCGCCACCCACACCGGCTGGAACAGAAGGTCAGATTCGATTCCCGAAGTGTAGAAGTTTCACGGCCAAGTACACCGGGGAAGACCATAAGGAACGAAAGGTTACGGCACGAATAGTTGACAAGAAGACGAATAAAGAGATCGACTCGTATAATCCCCTCGCGGATAGGTCAGTTAAGGATGCCATTGGGGAAGAGTCAAAAACGGTAGTCAATGAGGCGCTACAGTTTATTCCCCAGAAGAACGTCATAACCCAAGAGTTATCATTCAGATGATGAAGCACGTGGTATCTAAAGTTGCAACCGAAGAAGATGCATGGATCCGTATCAAAGTGGGCACAAATGATGACCATTTGGCATATACATACACAACGGACGGCAAATTGTTGACCAAAGAAAGAACTCGCTCAAAACCGACGGCGGATCCAGATCCGAAGAAACGATCGTCAGATGATTATGAGTCGGTCCCGAGATATACAGAGGCGACAAGCAGAAAGGTCACCCTCAAACTTTTCGCTAGTAATGGAGAAGCGGTGGAAACCATAACTGCAGTAATAGTCGACCCAATAACAGGAGACCCGATTCCATATGCTCCATGGGATGTATCAGAAGAGAGCGCCCGAAACGCGAATCAGGCAGCCATTGAGCAGTTATGGGATCTGATACCTGAAAGCGACCGAACAGATGCCGTGGTCCAAGCAAGCACACTCATTAGCATGATGCGGCATCGAGCGGAGATCGATGGAGCACATTTCCGACTCACAAGACGAATGGAAGACGGAACGTACAAAACGGTATTTTACGACGCTAAGAAGAACCCTTTGTGGGAGGTCGCCTCACAGGGATCTCCGAAAGAGACAAGACACTTGGAAATTCATCCCCCGGCACAAGAAGGCGGAGCCGGAGAGACGGAAGAGGCGCAGGGCACGTCGGCAAATGTAACTGAAACAGGAGGGGCCAGACGCTCGCTACAAAGAGTACTCGAGATTGCCCAAGGAAGTCATGAGCACCTTCAGTGTGATGAACCAAACTGTGCCCATTGTAATCCACCTGGTGACGACGAACCAGAGTCGGAAGACGATAACCCACCTGAGGAAAACGGCTCAGACGAAGAAACGGCCGACAAGCATAAAAAGCCCTCAAAAGTGAAGCCCTCAAAAGTCAAACCGAGGAAAGCGCCCAGATTGGAAGAGGCCATGAACCGTGACAAGGTTAAGAAAGGCGATTTTCTCAAGAAACGACGGGAGGAAGAAGAGAAGAAGAAACGACAGGAGGAAGAAGATAAGAAGAAAAAGAGCGGTGATGAAAGCGATAGCACAAGCACCGGGAAGAAGAAAAGGGAAGGATCAAAGAAAAGAGACGAACCAGCGTCTCATGATGTTGAGATATTGGACGAGTCAGTTGGCGAAGTTGAAGAAAGGTCATCGACACCTACGAAGTCAAAGAAAGTTATCCAATCGGCTACAGCAGAGCCATCAAAACCCAAAGGAAAGATCATAGCAGTGAAACAAGTTGTCCCCATCGTCATCTCTGCATCCACGCCAAAAGAGCGCAAGGACAAACAGATCCGCGAAAAAGCGAAACGGGAGACGTCGCGTGAATCGGAGGCATCGGAAGTGAGCCTTCCAAGCACTTCGACGGTCAGTGCAAGGTCACATGCGGATTCGAAAACGACACGATCAAGAACCACTGAACCAAGGAGCTTAGCGGACGCACTGGATAAAGGGCAAAAAGCAAAGAGCGAACCCGTTAAGACAAAAGGAAAGGTCAAGACAGCCATAAAAGTCGACGCAATGGCAATGATCAATTACACTGAACCAGATGGAGAGAGTGAACTGGATTTCACCTCAGATGAAGAGTTCGATGGTTCAGACGACGACAATTTGACCACGGTCGATGAAATCATCAACGCGTATAACGGAGCCGAGAAGAATTTCACACGAATAAGAACAGCATCGGTGACAGCGAAATTTAAAGCGGGCCTGAAGACTTATCTGAAGAAACAGAGTCGCAGCTTCACTAAACGAAAGTTCGACGTTGTATTGGAATTCGCACGGAGTGCAGGGAAACTTATCCAAAAGCACCCAAACTTTTCGTATAAGGCCAAGCTGTTCAGACCTGCCAGTTCGGACAAAGCGCTGACTACTCCGAATGAAGCGGTCCCAATGCGAGTAGAAAGGGCAATCGCAGGAATGACAAGCCCGTTAGGATCAACAAGCCATCGGATTAGCCAATATATTAACGCAGTTTGGAATGATGGGAACGGGATGATAAAGGAGATCGACACGGCAACCGAGCGCGTACTGCCAAAGTTGATTAAACAGAATGTCCTTGCCACAACAAACGCAAATAAAGGACATCCAATCCGATACACGAGAGTTGGTTTGATACCACCGGAAAGACAGATCCACTGTCATATGTCTGACAGTCAGGATACGGAAAAGGTCACAGCCCCATTGAGCGGAGACCCGTCAACTCCGATATTGGATCAGATCGCACAGAAAACGGCCGAAGAAGATGCGGCGAGGTTGAAATCACAAGCCCCGAAAGTGCCGAGGAAAAAAGGACCAATGGACTCGGAATCGGGAAGTGATGACGATACTACAATAACGGCTCCTTCTGGACCTGCGACAGAAAAAGACGAACAGTCGAAAGGTCCGAAGACATCCGGAACTACCGCAGAAGTTCAACCGAAAGGTCATGAGGCTTCAGACAAACGGGAGAAAGAAAAGGTCATGCTCCCGATGGATAAGGCAGCGGCAGAAGCTGAAGCGGATTCGGCGCGACAGGTGTTTCACAAATCACTGTTCATACCATTAAAGGAGGTCTTGGAGAAGGAACGATCGAAGTCGGTTGGCGATCTAAAAGGTCAAGAGACTTTGCCGCAAGAGGAGAAGAAGACAGCCGAACCAAAATCAGCGGGGTCATCATCAAGATCATTGGCAAAGCTGAGGATCGACGAAACAGCGACAGCTGACCCAACGGATTCGACATCCTCCCAGAAAAGTAGCGATACACCAGCGAAGGAGGCTACAGATTACACGTTAGGGCCGGCATTGGACGTAAACAACCGTACATGGAAGGAAGTCCAAAATACGCTCCAGATGGTCAGAGAAGGCGAACTACTTGGCCCCGAACTGAAGAGACAAGTGGCTGAAAACTCGAAGGGGAGGTCGTCACTCAATATGACCGAAAGAGTTCTGAAACGAGCATACAAGGAAGGGAAATTAGGATGTAAATACAACAAGGACAACAAGGTCATTTATTACCTACCGGAACAGGGCCGAGAGCGTACTCCTAGACTTCCAATGGTATTAGAGGCATGGAAGATAGCCATCAAAGACGTGGCTTTGGACGCCATCGGAGGTACCAACGGAGCGTCATGGGGTGACCTTTCAAATTTCATGGCCGTTCATTATGAATTGGGCGAATTGAACATCGAGAAAGATAAGGAATGGATCAAGAATGCGGTGGAAGCTTTGATTGCGGACGAAGCAGTTCACATCAACAGCGATGGCCGGATAGATTTTCCACCGTTACCACCACCGGAGAAAGAAGCAGAATGAATGTCGACAGTGTAATATGCAGCGAGTAATGAACCCTGCATATTACAGAAAAAGCATAAGATAGTTCAAAACGAAAGAGAAAAGTGTTAGGAAAGGTCACCTGAAAGCAGCAATAGGACTAATAGAAAAGGTCACAGTAGTCAGAGAGTGCTGATAACGTGAGAATGGTCACCACGTTACAGTGATAGAAAAGCCAGCAGGAGCTAGGAAAGTCTCAGCTCAGTAACGGAATAGGCGTAAAAATGATAGAAAGCCTTGATAACGGATAGGAATGGAAAGGATTAACGTGGAGAGGTTAATATGACGGATTGTTTTATAATTGCAGATTGAAGGAGAAAGATGGCACAAAAAGGTCAAGCCACTCCTAAACGTTCGGGAATGGCGGCAGACATCGATCAGTTTACGGGCTATAATCCAAAGTGTCCGGACTGCTTAAGGAACAACAAAAAGGTTGATAAGAAATTCCCTTGCTACACTTGTATTCACAAGCTGGAAGACCCACATACCGTCACGCTTGTTGGGATCATGGAAGCCAAACGTGGGAACTTGGACGTTTTTCGAAATCTCATAAGCGCAAGAAATTACGGCAGCATCCCAGTAGAAGAGCGAATGCTATTCGAAGATCGTTATCGAGAAGCGATCCGGAACAATGAACCTGGTTGGGATGACACCTTGGAGCCGTTGAAATGTCCACAAACAGACGCATACCGGAAGAAGTTCGAAGAAGACCAAGCGAAGATGCGAGCTCAGCAGATGGAAGACGAAATCCGCGCGAAGATTAATGCGGAAAATAAGAGAGCAAGTGAACAGGCTGCACGAGAGGGGTTGCCCAGTACGTCGAGTTCAACCGGACCCGCAGCCAGCCTAAACGAAGAAGAAGTGCAGCTGATACGTCAGTCACTCATCATACAAATCGAAACGTTAACGAAAGATCCAGCTGCTATGTCAGACGAGATATTCAAAATGCTGTTGCGGGAAAAGAAACGACTGCAAGACGGGTTCGCGCCGGCACCATACATAAAGAAGGAAGTCGAAAGACGTATGGATGATCTACGTAAATCTCGCCGAACCGAAAGCGATGTGCTGCAAGCACTCAGAAGTTTTAAACGGGACGAAGGTTTCATTCGACCTCGATCACCTCCGCATAGAGAAAGGTCACGCGGACATTCACGTGAACATGAACGGATTTCTGAAAGACGGAGCGAAAGGTCACGTGAACACTCTCGTGAAAGGACACGTGACTACCACAGTGAAAGGTCACGCGAACGCTCTCGCGACCGAGATTACCGTGGCGGAAGAGGATGGGTGCGCCATGGAGATTAAGTAACAGAAACGAGTGTTCAGAGGAAAATCGACACGGCAAAGATCTTGGCAGCCACAAGAGGACGTGAAGAGAAACGGCGTGCGGAGACATTCCGTACAGAACCCGAAAAGCGAGGACATCAGGTGCCGATGGGAGTTGCATTCCGGAATCGCAATGTCAGAATGTCAACACCCGAAAGGTCATGGGACAAAAGACGCGAACACACGCGGAATCGGACACCCGATCTACAGGATAAAAGATGGCAACAGAGGGCTGCATTTTATGCGACCTTTGATTCGAGTGCAAGCAAAAGGTCATCAAGCGCGGAACGGGAAGATTCACCCCCAAAGTATCAGCGGGTGGAGTCAGTGGTTCACGTAGTGGATCCAATTGTCAGTGTCGTACAAGAAGATGACTTGATGGAAGGGACCAGCTCGATTGCGGAAACGTCTCAAGAGAACGTGACCCATCGACGAAATGTAATTCTGGATAGTGACCTTCAACCGGAACAACCGGCGAGTAACGAACCGTCGCAGCCTGAGTCGGGAGAGCGACGTGAACCAGAAGGTCAACGCAAACCGGATAATCGTCGTCAAGTTGATCAGCGACAAAACTCCAGATTTAATAACCGACAGCCCGATATTATCGACATGGAATACAACATGAACGACATTGACGATCAAACGGTTGAAATTTGTCGATATTTCGGAATCGAATCCGACTCGGTCGAAGCTAACAAGATCCTCACAATTCTGAGACAGTTGAGTCAATTCCTACTTGATTCGGGCTATGCGAGAGAGATTAAACAGGGAGTGGAACAAGGAACTTTTCGTCGGTTATTCATCCACCGCGATTCGGTACGGGACTGTTATCTCCCTATCCGACGGAATGGGCTACACAGCTTGGTGGATTTGAGTTTATTGGATGTACCGCTGGATACAACTGACCCAATCGGGATGACACAGTTCTATTACAGAGACTATCCCGAACGACAGGAATACGTGGCTCAGTTCGTTTTACGACATGTGAATCCAGCCTTCAAGTTGCTTGCAGCAAGAGCATCGATAGGACTACAGGTGGATCCTAAGGACTATGCCGCAAAAAGGATGGGGCAAAAGGTCTTTGCCGCGAGACTGGCACATTACAAGACACAGAATCAATTGGTGTCTAATACTATGAAGGACGACATTCCACCGTTCTTCCGAGCTCATGTCGCTAAATTGGGACAACCGATGGAACATATCAGCATAGCGCACACAGCTCGAAAGGCGCTGAAAAAGTGTAAGACACGAATGGAAAAGGGCAACTTGACACAGCGCCACGCATCCCAAGTTGAAGAAAGGATTAATAAGATCAAAGATTCTCTGGGAAGTGACTACGTTGAACCGGTGGACGGAATCGAAACTTACATTGATGAATTCTTAGTGAAGAAAAGTGACCGTCGCCCAGACCGTGCGCCTAACCAGATGGGACGACGCGGCATACGAAACCAACAGCTGCGGGATAATCTCGCCGACGTGCAGCGTCGATTGGCAGATGACCCTGATAACCGAAGACTGCGACTCGAAGAAAATGATGCGCGCCATCGACTAGAGGCGGTTAAGCGCAGTCGCCAAGGGAAAGGTCGTGGCCAGCGCGAAGTTGATCCGGCAAAGGTCATGGAAGTTGATTCAACGGAACCAATTGACCGGACATCTGATCGTAATCAACCCGAAAGTGCTAAGAAGCGCCCGCCAAGAGATGGCGAGGGCGATTCAAATGAAATGGAATAGTGTTGATCGTTAGGATCACACTATTAAAAGGACGTCTACGGCATTTGTCGGTACGTCACAAAGATGAAAATGGTGTTGTATAAAGGGCGTGACACGTGACATGTCAACATTAACTGTATTTGTGTATTTGTTGTTGCAGCGTTTATAGCACAGAATTGCCTAAAAGAAATCATGTGGAATATCTATTGGGGTTGAAATTGATTCGGTCTATAAAGCCGGCCCCAAGGGAGTTGCTACGGCAGTTAGCCGGCCCTCCTCTCTAAGCGACTCAGTGTTATAAATGCACAAGAGAAACTACGGTAATCAAGCCGGATCTCTTGAATACGAAACGGGGCCACAAGCGGCGAAAAAGAGAAAGACAACAGGTGGAATATTGATGAGGTTAATTTAATGCGGCAACCAGCCGGCCTCATTAGAGTTGTTACGGTAAACTATGCCGGCACTCTCTGTAAGCGATTCTGTGTTAAAATGAAAACGAGAAAAACTACGGTAACCAAGCCGGATTTCTCGTAATAACGTAAGCCACAAGCGGCGAACAAGAGTAAAAGACTTAAGGTGGAAATTTCATGGGGTAAATTCAATGCGGTAACTAGCCGGCCCCATCAGAGATGCTACGGTAACCTTGCCGGCACTCTGGCCGCTCGAGGCATATTGAAGTTGGATGTGCGACGGAAAGGTCAAATCAAGTCTTTACCAGGGAGGCAAGCAAAGAAGTGCTTGAAGCCGCAGAAAATCGGCTAAGTTCCTCCATGACCTTTAACAGAAGTTTTGCAGAGTGGGATGACCCTTGGGATCATAAATTGCCCAACAGAGTCACCGTAACGGAATTCAAGTCGCATGACCTTTGGGACCATTAACCCAAAATGAGTCGCACATCTCAACGGATCATCTCAGCAAAGGATGACCTTTACCAGGGAGGAAGCGAACTACGCTTGTCTATGTGACGTCCCTCCATGACATTTATGGATCTCATTTGAAGTCGTACAATTGATACGCACCTTATTCCAAAGATTGAAGCAGTATTCCTAAGTCGTACTTGATACGCACCTGATTCTCAAGCGGATTGTGATGAAAAGTCGCATTATGGATGCGCAGGATTGCTCAACAGAGCGGAATGTGCCAAAGTGCGGAAAACGGTGGACAGGACCTGTGACCTTTACGAGTCAGAAATGGAGGATCCTAGTCTACATTTGATTAAAACTTTTGTTGATCTGTTACTGTTGATCTGTTCCTAATGATTTGATAGTATTTTTATAGTTGGATCTCTTTATTCACATTGTATTAAATGGAATTGTGCCTTTACGGAATTGATGTGATAAAATGGATTAAGAGAATTTGATGTTTTTGAGCACGCACAGACACCGGCGACCGTCGTCTTCTCGTGGATTCGGGTGTGTTCAGCCTCACAGGAGCTCGGCATCCCCCCAGAGGCATGTGAGACCGGGATTACTAGCGTTCACGTCAGTGGCGCTACGCCTGCGGCGCTACGCCTTAGGATTACGTGTCTGTGTTGTGTCTCTTCTGATTGGCTTGAGTTGTGTTAGTGGGCGCGGCATAGCACGTGCTGCACAGTGTTACACACTGTTGAATGGGCTCCACGCTTTACGATCGAGCTGCGCCGATCATTGTTGATTTTCTGTTCTCCAGACTTTTCAATATTAAAAAGTCAGCGATTTACGGTGCGACGTTTGTGTTTCCGCATAGCTCGCGATCTATATCGTATCGCTCGCTTCCACGGGATCTATTCCGTTTAGGTCTCCGTATCTGGATCACAGTTGGATCTAGCATTAGAGTGGTCTGCGGATCTGCGCTGTCTCCGATTTTCTCCGTGTTGGAAACTTGGAACTATTGTTTGCCAAATTAAGTAGGTAGTTTGCCAAATTAAGTAAAAAAACCTGATTGTTGGGGCCATCACCTGTGGCCAGTTTGGCAAACATGGCTGAAAAAGCCAGCGATAATACCCATGATGCAGAAGATAATTATGAGCCTTTTTCCATCGAGAAACTCGCTAGCCTATTCCCTGATGGAACGGCCAAAGATCAGTGGTCCTTCGGAAGGCTGATACCCTTGATACGAAAGATGATTCCAGCCATTGCCAGTGATCTGGAGAACGTACAGAAATACCCAGTCTACCACGAGGATCTCAACGGCCTCATCACCAAGTCCAAGTGTATCGATACTCAAGTGCCCGCGCTGATCTCACCGATCGTGCAAGAAAACCAAAGACTGAAAGCCAAGCTTTCTTCATTGGAAGCCCAAGTGAAAGAGCTACAAGAACGTCAGAAAAAGTATGACGACATCTCCATGTCGCTACAGGTTCTCAGGGACGAAATCAATGCCGTAAAAACAGCGCAGCCTGTACCCTCCACGAGCACCGTCGATGTCGGCCGATTAGTACTCCAACCCTCCGGGTTTCGATCGGTCGCCGAGACTCCTGCCAAGACGCCTGTGGAGCAACCATCCACCACCGATTCCCCACACGAGCCAAACACAACCCCTGACATGAAAGTGCCCCAGACGCGCTTTGATACCACCCCCCGTGACGCTTCGAACTCGAAAGCACCCTGGGCCACCGTAGCTAAAAAAGGAAAAGTGGTCCGTGGCACGCGTGAAAAAACCACCAGCGCAAGCGAGGACATCGTCATGTCTGCCCTGCAGATCCGGCGAGCCCCCAAAGTTGAGAAAGAGAAGGTGAAAAAGAACTTTTGTCTACATGGCATCCCCCCTCGGGAGCAGACCGAACACGAGACTCTCGACGAGTACAGCAAGGACCTCAAGGCAATTATCGAATCTATTGGAATCTCTGTGAGATTTGTTTCAATTTATTCTGCTAAAAACGGCCGTAAGAATAGTCTGTTCGCACGTGTTGGTTCTTACGCTAGTGAAACCGAAAAAATGTTCACGCAGGCCAGACGCAGGAATTTCTGGACATGGATGCCGCCGAAGTATGCTCTGCAGCGTGCCGTAGACAATACAATATTTAACTTTAGCATATCGGTGTTACAGTTGAAGCAGCTGATCGTCTCCGATGAGCTGAAGGCGGAGAAGGAGGAGCAAGTGGCCGACGCGGTTGTTCGTTGCCTGGATCATTCCCTCCAGCAGCGATCGCGATATGCTGTAAAACTGGTGCGGTGTATCCGGGTGTCCCTGCTGACCGCCGAATATATGGCTTCCCTTCCTGGCACTCTTGTCGGGCAGCATGTTCAGCAAGCTGTCTTTTCTAGAGCCAACGATGCACACCGACACCGTAGCTCCTACCGTAAGTTCCTGTTTTATTCAGACGCTATACAGTACTGGAAAATTTTTTTAGCTAAGTATTTTATAAGATTTGGGTTGTTCTTGTAATGGTGTAAAGTTAGTGGCCTAAGCGTAAGCATTACCACTAGGCTATCGGCAGATACATACTTTAAGAGTGAGTCTTGTAATTTACGACGGCGATCGCGATTCCTAACCGTGCGCTATCATAATGGCAGGTGAATTTACGGACTCGCAAGTTACAAAATCGACAAATGCTATGCTATAGCAAATGACACACCGTGCGATCGCTTTCGCTACTGCGATCGCATTCGCAATCATACACCTACGGGTGTCCCGAAATCAAAAATGTGATGACAAATGTACCGGAACCGGAAACAACATTACTTCGACATTTGTGGAAGTGGTAACTGGCGTTTCTAGTTTGTGCACTTCGGTACACAATACTTTCCATCAGATTTCCATCCGATTAACGCGTTTTTAGCCACAATGTAGTGTTCTTTTTATTATGTTCGTGGAATGTTTTAAATTAAAAAAGAAGACAAAAAATTTCTGGCTATCAACATCAATTTGTAAGCTGCAGCTGCTTCGAACTGCTGATTCTTGTAAGTAGGTAAGTAAGATAAGGTTACTTATCAGCTAATGGAATAAAAACTCGATTGATTATTGTGCCCATTGATTACTGGGAAGTTTTATTAATTACTATCGGAGCAAAACGACGTCTGTTTGATTTTAAGTTTTTGAATTTCCCACGTTGAAACAGCTGGAAATCCCAAATAGCACATGTTCTACGCAGGCTGCAGCTATCTAGCAACGTAGAAATAGCATGTGCCATAGCACATCCTATAACACAATTTACGGACACTGGAGATTTGGCATGGCGATCGCACATGCTATCACTGCGATAGCGAAAAAATTTCGCTATGGTATTTACGGACACGACTATGTGCGATCACGGTAGCACGATTTACGGACTCGTGGAATATGATCGCGGTTGCAATCATCATCGTACATGCCATGGTACACCATTTCAGGACGATCTCGTGTGCTGTTCATACTATCGCGATCGCCATCGTGAATTTCAAGACTCACTCTAAGCCAGAAAATGTGTAATTATTGTTATCATCGGTAAGTGTTTAAATGACTCTATTAATTTTACTATCATTAATTGAACTGATAACGGCTAAATGTTTCTTGACTGCACTTGTTCAGTGCAAGTTTGTGCAACACTGACTGGTAAAACTTTACTGTAATCTGCTAATTTGCAGAGCCTGTAATCGTTTTCTTATGGGGCTGCAACCAGCAGACGAACAGAGCGGGGCAAAGCAACGCTGTCGGACTGTACTGCCTGGATCCGCTGACGGGGCAGCAGTGGAGCGTGCCGTGCGCCGTTCCACCGAGCAGCTGGAGCGGTCCGCTGGTATACATGGTGAAGGATGGCCAGCTGCGCATCTACGTCCTGGTGTATCTGGGCGGTCCCACCTCGTGCCGTCTGCTGTTCTACGAGACCGGCGTGGATCGGTGGACGAGGGTGGGGACCTTTTTTGTCCGCCACGCCTGGCTGACGGCGATTGATGAGCGTCTCTACATGCTGGGTGGCGAGCGCGAGCTGTGTGCTTTCGACGAGGAACTCCGCCAGATTACCGTTAAAGGCAAGATGCCGGCGATGCTGTATGGGTGTGCCAGTGTAGCGTCCTACGGCCGGTTGTATTTATTCGGAGGAAAGGGTTGGTCGGCGCACGATTCCCTGTACCTTCCCACCATGATGGCCTACCGCTACGACCCGGAACCCGACCGGTGGGAGGAGCTGGCGCCGATGCCGACAGCGCGCTCCCATGCCGAGCATGTGTCGGCCCGGATGGGCTTATTTATGTTGTGGGTGAGTTGAGGTCCGGCATACAGATATTACGGCAGAGACTCTCCATTTGGAAATTTCAAACTCGGGTTCGCTGTAGTGAGTGTGGTTGTGTGCGAGCTGTACTTGCTGTATTACCGCTGCACAGTTAGTTTGAAAATGTATAGCGCAGATGTGAAAACATGGGGTGGCAGGTGGCTTATACGGTATACACTACTATACAGCCTTACGGAGAATGATATAGCTTCGGCTGTGCATTCACATACAATCCATCAGATTTAGAATCAGTGTACACCGGTAGTACAGCAAGTACAGCGCCCATACAACACTCACTACAATGAGTCAGCGCTAAAAATTTCCGGATGGGCAGTAGTATGTGCGAGTGCGAGTATGTGATGCACATAGCCGAAACCGTCTCATTCTCTTTAAGGCTCTGTATAATAAGCCATAACCCTTATCTTCATCTCGGAGTAGAAATTTTCTAAATGAACTGTACCCAGAATAACTTTTACAGTATTATTTTTGATTAATAGGCGGGTGTAAGGCGAAGCACTTTGATGAAGCCCTGAAATGTGTGGAAGCATACAACGTCCAGACGAACCAGGGGATACCGAAGCGTGAGTGCGAATCAATCTCTGTCTACTAGTGTCTCTTCAAAAACGCAATTTTGCTAAGGGTCCATGAATGTTGCGAGGTCGAAGATCGGGCTGTGCGTCTGGAAGATAAACTGTATGCTACAGCAGGCCTCACGGGAGGAAATTTGGGCGGGCCTAATGTGACCGAGTGCTACGACACGAAAACCAACTGCTGGTCAAAGTGCGAACCGGCCTTTTCACCGCAGTGGAACATGCACTGTGCCGTGGTGCAGCGCTACATTGCCTGGAAGAACCTGCAGCGGTCCAGCACCGGGGTCTGTGGCTATTATCCTGTTCGTCTGCGCCGTACGTTGTGTTGTATGTACTCGTCGTCGTCGTGTTATTTTTTTTCTATTTCTCGTACTAAATCTGACATGATCCTGTACAGATGTTATAACTATTATTATTATCGTTATCTTTCTTGACGATAACCTTCTTAATTTTGGAAGCATTACCGGTGGCGTTAAGTATTGTTTAAGTTCATTCATTCATTATGAACCATTTCTTAGTGTAACGAAGATGTTACTTGTTATTATTGTTACTTGTTGAGTTATTAGTTTTTGTTGTAGTCTACCTCCTTGTGCCGGAGCAATCCTGTTAAATTGTAGACGCTAAACAGAATAAGGCGGCATCCATAAATTACGTCACGCAAGTTGGGGGAGGGGGGGTCCTGAAAGCGTTACTGTTGTTACAAAGGGGGAGGGGGGTATTAAAACTTTGTTACGATTCTGACGTCACCATGCTATATCTATGGAGGGGTTGGTTTTCGTGTCGTAGCACTCGGTCACATTAGGCCCGCCCAAACTGCTCGCTAATGGCCGGCGTCAACAGCTTGCTGTCTGGTATTTGCTTGTGTGTTGTACTGGATAGGCACGTTGAGATATTTTAGGATGTCACACTGCACAATCTCACTCCCACCTCCCGTAGTAGTGACGTGGGTAGGAGGATGTACCCACATCGTACGTCCAGATGCCTCTAAGATGTCCGCCTTTCACCTGTAAATACGAGCCGCCATGTTATTATCTAGTCATCCCTCTACCTGTGATTGGTCGTACGATAAATCCCTAGCGATGTATGCCGTGTACTTCTACTACGTAGTCTATATAAGCTCGAGTGATGCCTAATATCGGAAGCAGTCAGGAATTAGTCTCTCGATTTCTGACATTCTTACTTTTCTGGCTTCTATGTGTCGAGGAAATACTTGTGAATTAGATTAAAGGGCAGTATGTTCTAAAGGCTACGACTGGCGTTCATAATCGACCTTTCGGATTATAGCGTAGTCAGCCGCAGTATACTCGCGTCACAATTGACTTTCACCTTGATCTGATCCTTGTATTACCCGAGACCAGAAGTGAAGTAAGGTATTCGTTCGTCTGTTCGTGTGGCTCGCAGGGTTCCTGATAGGGATTCCTGGTTCCTGTGTTCCGGTTCTTATCTCCATCGTTCCTCCAAGTTGTTTTCGCCATACCAGTTTGAGAGAGAAGAGTGCTCATACCGCTCAGCGTGGCAGGGAAGTGGTTACTCGACGTATCGATCATGTAACACGACATGGCGCCCACCGATGGTTCGTAATTTTCTCGATGGTACAGCGAAAATTGAGGATGGAATTTTGATGGAGGTTTATGCGTGAAATTGCGCAGAAGTGGTCCGTAAAAAGGCGTTGAACCGAAAGGTACGCCGAAGGGGGCAGAGCTTCCTCGCCCAGGGTTATTATTTTGATTGCGAGCTTCCTCGCTGTAATTTGGTGAGCTTCTTCACCGGGCAGAGCTTCCTCGCCCATTTTCAGTAAAATTTAATTTGAATTGATCGGACCGTATAAAGGTCGGCTAAGTGTGAATAAAAGTGGTATTTTTGGGTAATTTCCGGGTTGTCTGCGCAAAGCGGTAACCGCGGTGAATAAGTGTAATTTGCAGTGTCAGTGTACCTGGCCTGCAGATTGATCAGTAACGGCAGATAGCAAGCACCGAGCTATTGTCAGTGGCTAGGTGAGATAACGATCTTTGGTAGCTGAATAAAGGCAAGCCGCAAGCGGTAGCCAAAATCAGTAGCCAGAGATAGTTGACCGGATAAACGTCAACACCGGCAAACGGTGATTGACCTGTAAGTTAGAATTACGGCATTTTAATAAATTAAGTACTACAGTCGAAACCTTAAAGGTCGACAGTAGTAATTAGTTAGTACGGTACTGTGGCACTGCATGTATATAGTCATTCAAACCGCAAAGGTGAATGGGCTGTGCAACTTGGCAGTGATACAAAGAAGTGGTATTGTAGATGTATGGCCATTCAAACCGCAAGGGTGAATGAGCTGCACATTCTGGCAGTAAAGCTTTGCAGTAACAGGAGGTTGCTGCAGTGATCAAAGAAGCATTCAAACCGCAAAGGTAAAATGCTTGCTTTGTGGAAATGAAGTTGTAATTAGTACTGTTGAAACCTTGAAGGTCGGCAGTAGTGATTAGAGAAATTTATACAGTGCTGAGGCATTGTATGTGTATACTGTGTAGCCATTCAAGCAAAGGGAATGAGCTGTACAATCTGGCAGTAAAGCCCTGCAGTAACGCAAAGTTGCTGCAGTGCAGTTTAAATTATCTTATAAATCCTTGATCGAAGCCTCAAAGGTCGGTCAATGATTTGGTAAGATGCGTGTTACTGTAGATCGCACAAACGGTTGTGTCTTCGGGATCAGCACCGGTAACCAGTCAAGTTCGTGGGGGAGGCGGTGAAACAGCTGTAAATAATTCGCAGTCAAGTCCGTGGGGGTGGCGGCGATGGGCCGACCACTTCTCAGGTAGATGTGCCAGTGCAGCCTACGGCAATTAAATCAAGTATCGGTAGTGATCAAGTTCGTGGGGGTGGCGTCGGTTTGATGAAGACCGTCTTTACCTGTACCCACAGAAAGCCTCCACTTCTCAGCAAATTATTTCAGTAATGATGATAATTTTAATAAAATGAGATCTGGTTTAATTTTTAAGGTTTAGAGTTTAAACGCAGTCATACGTTGTTCGAAAAATAAAAATTCAGTGCGTTGGTAGCGTGCAGTTTTCGCAACCGGAAATGCAGTGTGAAGTGTGACTGCCGTGCTGTGCGGTTGCACTGCGATTTTTGACTGTGCTGCATAGCGCACTGAAATTTGTCTGTTTGTTGTGGTTTTGCGTCTCCTCTGGATTTTCTCCAAGCCTCCTGGATCCTGGATCTCCACATCGCCACTTCACCATGGTCCTCCGGATGCCAGCGCTTGACGATCACATACATTTACCGGATCAGGCGTATATCTCTTCGGCATCGGACGGACATGCGTGGATTGCGCGATGGAGATGGATGGATCAGGATGGCAGGATGGAGCACGCATCGCACAATCACGGGATGGTACAGGATGGATGGCTTATATTGGCACGGCCAAGACTCGTTCGTGGGGGTGACGTGGGTAGGAGGATGTACCCACATCGTACGTCCAGATGCCTCTAAGATGTCCGCCTTTCACCTGTAAATACGAGCCGCCATGTTATTATCTAGTCATCCCTCTACCTGTGATTGGTCGTACGATAAATCCCTAGCGATGTATGCCGTGTACTTCTACTACGTAGTCTATATAAGCTCGAGTGATGCCTAATATCGGAAGCAGTCAGGAATTAGTCTCTCGATTTCTGACATTCTTACTTTTCTGGCTTCTATGTGTCGAGGAAATACTTGTGAATTAGATTAAAGGGCAGTATGTTCTAAAGGCTACGACTGGCGTTCATAATCGACCTTTCGGATTATAGCGTAGTCAGCCGCAGTATACTCGCGTCACAATTGACTTTCACCTTGATCTGATCCTTGTATTACCCGAGACCAGAAGTGAGAAGTAAGGTATTCGTTCGTCTGTTCGTGTGGCTCGCAGGGTTCCTGATAGGGATTCCTGGTTCCTGTGTTCCGGTTCTTATCTCCATCGTTCCTCCAAGTTGTTTTCGCCATACCAGTTTGAGAGAGAAGAGTGCTCATACCGCTCAGCGTGGCAGGGAAGTGGTTACTCGACGTATCGATCATGTAACACGACAGTAGGGAGAAATGGTTGATACATGCGGTTTACATGGATTGTCGTCCGTCAAAAGCCAGGGAAGGTTCAGAAGGCACGCGAGTTTGAATAGCGTGATTCAGCGAAGTTTGGGATCAGCAATGTGCCGACAATCTTGGAGCCTCCAGGACTGTGCAGATCGAACGGGATGCGGCCAGACGGCTTATCTCTCTTCCCATGGAAAAATGGCCTCCCTCTGATATGGGATGTGACAGTTTGTGGCAGGTTCGCTACTTCGTATATAGGGGGCAAAACTAAGCGTGTTCCACGGTTCCCCTCTATTGCTGCCGTCACCCGCCTGGAGTGTGATGTTACGGCAATACATATGGTTAAATCTGGCGCGGTACATAAGCGCCATGTTCAGCCACAACGTAAAACTCCAGCCGGGTGACGGCAGCAGTAGCCGGAAACGGTGGAACACGTTTAGTTTTGCCCCCTGTATAGCTGGCTGTTCAGAAGCAGCGGGATCGGCCGCAGAAGACGCAGAATTGCGAAATCTTTATTCCGAGCTCACTGATCGATCTCGAGAGTTAGAAGAATTGCTTTATTGGTTTTGATTATGGGGTTTTGAAGTTTAAATTTAAATGGCATTGGCTTGTACAAATTGATAATAAAGAGCAAGAGCCTCCCGTAGTAGCTTCTTAGTCGTATTAAGAATCACTAGGATTCCATTATACCCACCCCGCTCGTCAGTTTGCATCGTTCGCTTAACGACGCAAGAGCGCGTTTATGACCTTTAGATTGCTTTCACCAAACCGACCATGTCAACGTGGCCGTCTTGTGGCCGGGCAGTTATGTAATTCAGCTGAACTGTGCTTTGAGAAACATCACTGTATCGGTTCTATGTACAGTACATCTGTAAACGTTTATTTAAAAGCAACGTACTTTTCAAATTACATTACGAAATATTTATCTGTTTACCATTTATTATGGCAAACGATGAGCATATTTTGATTATGGCTATGATAACCAGTTCATTGCTATTGTGGATGCTTTCCTTATCGTGGACATAATTGTCACTTGGCTGACACGCTAGTGCACAATAAGCATACCGACATACTCAAGCTGCGGATGAGAATGGCAGTATACATTTCCTTCTTGTATTTTGTTGTGTCATCGCGCTTATGTAATACTGTCAAGACCCAATGTCCAGAACCATGCAATGATCCTTTTTCTTCTTAGGTGTGTAACGCGCGATGTGTATCCGTGCCGAAGCGCCGAGAATACCGGTGCGAGAGTTACACTCGTAAATGGACGCCGCCGTCGCAGGCACTACACCCATAAAGTGCCCAAAATCCACTGAAAAGCCGGGAAAGGTCAGCATAGCCGCACGACCGTCCTGATTTTTTCTGGCCATTTTAAAATCTGTATGCAGCGGTAACCTTGACGCTTGTGCTGTGTTTATTGCCGTTGTTGTTGGTAGCGAAACAGTAAACGGCGTGAAACGTGAAGTGTTGCTAAAGGCGCATTGTTTTTGGCATTGTGACAATACAGTAAATTTTTCAAGTTTGACATTCGGGAATTAAGTATGTACTGCAGCCTCCCGCACAACTCAGACCACACGGTTTGG